GAGCTTTGACGGCTGTCGGCGCAGAAAGCAGACGACGAACAGATCACGTGACGTATTTACTCGATTTGATCCGACTTTACCCCCCGATCGAGGAGGGTAGCGCGAGTAATTACTCCGGAGTAAACAACCCGCTTCTGGAACGCGAGTTCTGACGTCATCGAAAGCTCGAGTAAGTTTTGGAACGCCACGGTACGAAACTTTTACTCCGGAGTCGGATCGAGTAAATTTTGGAACACAGCCAAGGAGAAAAACGTCGGGAGCGGATACGGATGTGACGTCACTTTTTTTTGGTTTAAATATAATTAAAAGTAATAAATTTGTGATTATTTATTCTTCATATCTTCTCGTCAGAGATTGAAGCGCGCGAGTTCAATTGCGGTTAAATGAAAAAGAAGCCTAGAACTACTTTTTGTCGCGGACGGCGCTGTTGCCGTGGCGGTAACGAGGGCCCCGGTGGCCTCGACCATGGAGTGTTATGACGTGCCTTGCCCCGGCGCTCTTATTGGGTCGCGGGGGCCGCAGCCTCCACAGTTCGCCAAGTTATCGTGAAACGGAGTATAGTAGTCGCCTTTGAGACATGCTGACCTTGGATGAGCATGTATGAATGGTAATTTGAGCTAAGGAATGAAAAGTACAGAGAACAGTATTCTACTGAAATTATGTTTGAACCAAACTGAATAAATTTGAGTACCAAATTGAATGTTTTCTTCAAGTTCTGAAAGCTGCAATAAAGTGTGCAAACTTGAATTCAGTAAAAAAATCAAAGCTTTCGTAATATAATTATGCGACTCAATGGTATTGTGCATGTGGACATGGTTTTATGACCATACAAAATCAAGATGTATATGATACACATATGATTTTTCAATAACAATTTACCTAATTTCTTAAGATTATTCCCAAGTTTCCATACATTATCTGCTAAGGCTCCTGTTATTTAAACTAAACTAATTGTTCATTGACTTTTCACTCAAACAGCTTTAATATTTAAATCAGCCTTAATATTTAAAGTCAGCTTTAATATTTAAATGAAGGGATTTAGGAATCATCAAATTTTACCCAAATACAGTGATGTGATTGGCCTAAGCCATTTTGGCGCACGTTCCGAAGCAACCAAAACAGTGTTTTGGAGCAGCAAAAGCGGCTTTTGGAGCAGCCAAGACAGTGTTTCGGAGCAGCAAAAGTGCATTTTGGAGCAGATATTCTAAGGAAAATAAAAATATTCGTTTTAAGTGCTGTACAAACGAAGGGCACTTTGTATTGTGTCGTGTTCTGATGTGACGTGTTGTGACGGAGCTCGGAGCTCGCTGCTTCTGTTTTTACTGCTCAGACATCCCACAAGTGTACACTGTTGTAGGCATTGCCAAGCAATTTCGAAAAACCGCTTGCCACCGTTTTACTGGTTCCCGACGTGCCAGATTTTCGTCAAAAGTAAGCAAACGTAAAACAATGAATTGCAAGCGTCCCAGCTAGTGCCTCAGTCACGCAATCATGTTCGCGTGCATGTGAGGCAAACTTCGGCAGGCTTGCTGTTCAGCATGCTTCGTCGCGCGAGCGCAGACAACAGCTGTCTGATCGAAACCGAAACCATGCCCCTCAGTTCCGTCGCTAACTTATCCCCAAAATTGTACACAAAATGTAACTTTTGAACTTGCGAAAAAAAAAAAAAAAAAAAAAAAAACAGTCCAGTGGCGCGTGCTTGCCAGGCCGGTAAACAAGGTACAAGCTAAACACAAAAAATAAAGAACCTGAGTGCATCGATGCAAGACATTGCGAGCCAGCCTCAAAACGTTCTTAATTGGAGCGCTTTGTGCAACGACTGAACTCGAGACAAACACAAGCGCGCTATGCGGGTTCATCGTGCAGACATTGCCTTCTTTGCTTTAGCTCACTTCCCTTCACTTTCTTTCACGGTAGATATTTCACGTACCGAGGTCTCTCTCGAAAGAAGGCCCACCAAGAGGAATCTAGATGATCAATACTTTGATCTCTGGTCTCTGGTCTGGTCTTTGATCTCTGGTCTTTGAATTATAGATAGATTTTTGTAGTAACGTATAACTTAAACAAGAACTGGAATGTTGATGAACATGCGGCGGTCCTTACGTTACAGTTTAGAAAGTACCATATCTGCAGTGCTGTGGGGACGGCAACATTCGACGTCGCGCGACCACGGTGACTGAAAGGCAGTGACCAAATATAGTTTTCCCACGGCCGTTGCTTCAGGTAACAAAGTAACTGCTGCCGCGCAAAAAACATGGTTTCGTTTCACAGCATGACGGCACGGCTGGTACCCGGCACGCTAGCGTCGGAGCGTCTGCACACATCCGTTTCTATCGCTAAAAATATATTTAAAAAAAAGAAACGAGAGACGAGACCCACAAGACGAGAGCGCGGAACGCGAGACGCCGGAAAAAGCATGCAAGAACGGGTGGACAATTGATGTACAGTACTTTGTGTCAGGTCGCCGCTTGCGCCACATAACACAAGCCTGCTCAATTACAGTATTCAGTTTAGTTTCGGTTTTGAAAGGCGACCTAAATCGGTCCTTTGGCGCAGGCTTGGCGCAGATTACCGATATTTTGGCGAAATGTAGCAAGATGTAGCAGGGTTAGCCCCTTGGCGCAGTTTGGCACAATTGGCGCAGCAATCACATTACTGCAAATATTCTGTCCTGAATCTCAAAACTGAAACCAATCACAACCGATAAGGCCGCGATTCTACTTTGAAAGTTTTATCACAAGGTCAAGAACATTCACCAAAAACTTCTTTTTTTTTTTTTTTTTTCAACAGCTGACGCGCGCGCGTGCATTCTCCCGTTCTGAATGACAGCTTATCCAATAAACCCGCTGTTGTGCTGCGGCAAAGCGAGATACACAGGGGCCGTGTTCCAAAATTTACTTGATCTTACTTCAGGGTAAGGGTTTTGTACCTTGGCGTTTGAAAACCTGCCCGCGCTGGGCGTTGCTCTATCTGTGTTGCCACCAACGTTACTAGGACAACTCAGTTGGGAAACAGCCATAAAGCCTGCTTTGAGAAAGTGGCTCCGAACCGTACTCGAGAACCGAACTAAAGGCGATCGCAACGCTGCCATTTCTCCCGCGGAGGCTACTCCGGGAACTGCACGGCTACACGTATTGGTTCAGGTCTAATCGTGCAAAGGCCGGTGGCGCCACCTCGTTATGCTATTTCGCAGTACCTATATAAATCAACTTTCATGTTTTGATTCGTCGCTAGAGGGGCGCGCTGTTATCGTATTTAGTTTGGTCTCGGTGGACGCGAGCGGTCCGGGTTTCAAGGGTTGTCACGTACGTGGTGTGACCCGTCGGGGTAACTCAGATCGATTTGCCTAAGATTTGGAACACAGGCAGGGTCGCGGAGTCCACTCTGCGAATGTCGCTTCTCCACAGCGCACCACTGCCCAGTGAGAAGCGCACTCAACGGAGCCAACTAACCAGTCAAAATCACAGGGGTAAAGACGGGAGCAGAACGCGGTAAATCCTGGGCGCTGACATCGGCGGTCCCGAGAGGAAGAACGAGAAAGAACTACAGAAGAGCGGAGAAAGAAAGCAGACGAAAGGTTATTAGGCCTGTTCGTTTTGCCGCGACGAGCTGAAGTTGCTCGAGCGCTTGTCAACTTTATTTAGTTTCATACAATGCGCTATTCCGGTGTTTTTCTGCTAAATAAGATAGAAAAGGGGGAACAAAATACAGACCTTACGGGTGATGTTTTCCTGCTTCTTTGTTCTTATTACGACGTCGCCAGCGATCTCTACCCATCGGGACCACCAACTGGGACCGCCGATGTGCGCGTCTATGCACCGCCGTTCCGAAGCGGCCCAAAGGTATGGAATTTTTCTCTCTAAATTATTGTACTAACTCCCCGGCCAAAATAGACCCCGAACAACGAGAAATATTGTGAAACTAAATTACTACAGGGTGTGTAGAAAATTATTATTTTAAAATTCCCCGACTTTTCCAGGTTTTCCCTGACAATTTCAGATGAACTTCCCTGACCACTCTAGAGCCGGTTAAGTACATAAAACCATTACAACACAAGGCATTGAACACTGAGCACTGTGGGGATCATTTTGCACGGCTTAATCCAACTTGCATATTCCGAAATATTCGGGTTCGTCCAGTCCGGATCAAACGTTGCACTTTCTTGCCGCCGACATCGTCAGTGAAGAGGCCACTTCCGGAAACACATTGAAAACATGACGCTCAATCACACACGTTCATAACCGAATGGCAGCATGGCCGCCAGATGCACACTTTCTGCTTAAGGCTTGGATTAAATTGGGATCTGCGACTTTCCCATGTGTTACTAAATCTAGTAGCTCTAACCGAATCTAGCCTAGTGTCGCGTCCTCAATCCAGTTCAATCCAATCCAAGGCTTGGACTGGATTTGTCGAGTCTTCCCTTTGCATCGGGTAGCATACTCTACATCGGGTGAGCAGAGCCCGCGCTCCGCTGTAAGCAGAATTTATTGCCCATTTTTCTGCCCCCAAGTCGTCGAGTCGAGCCTTTGCTCAGGGAACTCGATGGCGTTTCCGGCTCATTTTTCTTGACGGGGCTCACTTTTTGACAATATCCCTGACAATTCCCCGATTTTTCCCGGTAATGAAACTTTCCCTGACAAATCCCGGTTTTCCCGGTCGCTAGACACCCTAAATTACCAGTATACGATAGAAACGTCCAATCAAAGAGTACGTTTTACGAATCGATATTCAAAAACTTCCTCAAATCTGCATAAGCGTCCGTAACGACCCCGCAGTGTAGCGGGGCCAGACTTTCAGAATAACGAAAACGAGAAATTAACTTTTGGCGCTTGGCGCATATTCCACACAGTTTGGTGAAATGTATCTAAATGTAGCAGCTAAGCTGGTCACTTCAGCGCAGTTTGTAGGCAGCAGTCATATCACTGTTTACTCAACAAACCAGTCTTCCTTTTTTTTTTTTTTTTTTTTTAGTCAAAAACAAGGACACCGAGATACCGTACCTGTGTCACGGGAATCTGTAGCGGCTCTCCGGTTTCCAGCAGTGTCATGTCACCACAGCGACGGAGTATGCCCTCGCGACTCTTGTCCTGTGAGTCTGTAATAAAACTGTCTAATGTCGAAGTCCTTACAGTTAGCGCGAAAAAAAAAAATACATTCATAAACCAATATTGTGGAAAATTGGGCGAGTTGGTGGTACATGTTAACGGTAAAATAAACAGCGCAAAAAAAAAATCGAAGGACAAGAAGATGAAGTACACACACGAATCGTGTGCGCACTTCATCTTCTTGTCCTTCGTTTTTTGGTGCTGTTTTCTTTTCACCGTTAACGTTCATAAAGTGAGGAAAAAACGAAAAGCCCACCTGAAGTACCTCCGCCATCCTTAGGAGAATGTGCACTGACAGCATCTGCCGTGTCACTTGAGGCATCCATGTCGTCGGGGCACTCGTAGAAAATTTCGTCGTCACTCTCGCTCGATCCCGACTTCTGCTGGGCTGCAGACTCACTCGTCTGAAGTTGCCAGCGTTCCCGCTTCTTTTTCCTTTCGATGCAGCAGTTCAGCATCTGCGTGACCCACAAAGTACGTTTAAACTAGAGCCACTAAACAAGCTACGCTTCAGAGTAACGACAGTTGCCCATATTGTGTCTTAAAATCACGGTTGCCAGTTATCTGAAGCTTTATCTGAAATCGCAGGAAACGCTTTTCCGTCCCCCAGAAATGTTAAAGGGTTCGCGACGGAGCAAAACCATATCGCCTGAGCTTCCAAACGCCGTTTCTAAAGCTAAAATTGTGACGATTGACAGCTGCCTCTGCTCTGCAATAAGCACCCAGATGGCTGCGCCCACTAGCAGATCGGGGAACGGACTGTCGATACTCTAAGCGTAGCTCATTTAGTGGCTCTAATTCAAACTAGGGCGGGGGGGGGGGGGGGGGGGGGGGGGATCGGTGCCCGACTGTCTTAGCACACCGCAGCTCGGAGCACGCGGAGCGAGAAGCTCGCGCTGCAGAACCAAGAGATCCGGGGCTCAATCCCCACCCAGAGCCTTTTATACTCAGGCTCTGTCCCCACCCTTGCTCGGTTCAATCTAGTGCCACTAAATAAGCTACGCTTCAGAGTAACGACACTTCGCCATATTGTGTCTTAAAATCATGGTTGCCAGTTATCTGAAGCTTTATCTGAAATCACAGGAAACGCTTTTCCGCCCTCCACAAATATTTAAACTGCTCGCGACAAAGCAAAGCAATATTACATGACCTTCCTAACACCGAATCTAATGCTGGGGAAGACGCACTTTTGAATCATGACGATCGGCAGTTGCGTCTGCTCTGCATACGAGCCAAAATGGCGGCGACCACAACACTGTCGGGGAACGGAGTGCCGATACTCTAAGCGCAGCTCATTTAGTGACTCTAGTTCAATCTAAATGGGCACGGTACCGCCGAGCGGTCGTGTGACACACTACAGTTATGTCCCTATGCGAGCAGTCACACTGCAGTGGCTAAATTTATCCTCTAAAGCGTGTAACAGTGTCATCATACTTTGGCAGACGAAGGTTACACTGTATTAACCTCTAACGCCTAATCTGCTTTTTAGAGCGCAGTTCTTAGGCGCCCGTTTCCGCGTATAGCGGCGTCGCCGTCGGCGTAACCGCCCCGCTAAATTTAGCGGGAAATGGAATTGGTGCTGAGGTCACGTGACCTCAATTTTCCCGCTAAATCTAGCGGAGAAACTAAATTTGTCCATGGGGGATGTGACACGAAGTCACGTGACGTCATCTTCCCCGCTAAATTTAGCGGGGAAACTGAATTGGTGTTGAGGTCACGTGGCGTCAATTTTCCAGCTAAATTTAGTGGGGAAACTCTGGGAGGAGGGCAGGGGAGGGTACGGAGAAGGAAGATGGGAGGGTACGCAGGAGGTGGAGGGAAGGGGGAGGAGCGAATATGAGGGGAGGAAGACGGGAGGAGGAAAGGAGGAGGGGAGGGCACGGAGGAGGGGCATACCCTCTCCTCCGTACCCTCCCCTCCTCCTCAAAAGCTGCGCTCTAATTTCGCATTACAGAAATTTGTAAACGTCTCATTTTTTTAAAATTATAATGAGGAAAGGAGACAGAGCTAAGATAGCCAGTGCCTAATGCCACGTAAAAAAAGAAAGAAATAAAGTAATTGAGAGAGGATTAGTGTTAGCATGGAAAAAGGCAGTTGCAAGGATACGCTACCTGAAGCTTCTGGTGCAATAAAGAAGCTGCCAGGTTGGGTGCCCCAGGCTCCAGACTGGAAAGAAGAAAAAAATATTCGTAAAGTAAATAAAATGAAATAGCTCGAAAGGTTCGTTCCCACACTTGTGTCGACTGCAATGCGCTGCGCTGCGTCGTGTAGCGCAGCGCCTCCCCATTGGCTCGTTGTAAGGCTCGTCATAGCAACAGCTCGACGCAACCAGTCTTAACTTAGTCACACGCAACTGTGTGGACGAGCCTTAAGCATAACCTTTGAAAACTACCATCTTTTGATACGGCAGCAAAATGATTACCACTGGTCTGTGACACAAGCTGACATTAAAACTTCCAGGATAATGCACTGAGGTTTTACACTGGTGGGGCATCAAGTGACTCTAGGTGAAGTTGCACAGGATTCTTTCATTCACACCATCAAAGTTTTTACTATTTTTTTTCCCCCTTGAATGACGACAAGTTACATTACCCAGAGCTTGAGCCCAAATATGTGGGCCACCTGGAGTATTTTGCTTCTCAAAACTACAAAGATGTCCCCTACAACAGGTCAACACGAGGGTCGTGCTAGGCTAAGCTTCTCGGTGTTGTGTAAAGGAAAACACCAGCATGTGTTGACAGCAGCATGGCCTGCCAGATTGAGAATCGAGGACAAAAGGCGCAGGCAGGGGCGGATGCAGATATTAGATATTTCCTGAGAGGGGGGGGGGGGGGGGGGGCAGGTGTTGGTCAGCGTACCATATGTTTAGGAACCCCCTCCCCCTCTCCCTCGTTTCGCGCCCTAAATTTTACACATGCAGAAATTAAGAGGGGGGTCAGGACATCCGGACCCCCCCCCCCCCCCCCTCTCTAAATCCTCCCTGGGCGCAGGGCGCCTCTTTTGGATGCTCATGCCTCCAGCATGCGCACGCTCGAAGCTCACGAGACGCTGAAGTGTGATCGCAAAGAAAAAGCTCGCGCTGAAGGCGAGACAACTGAAAGACCTCATGCCGTTCTTATGATCTCGTCGGTGACTATAGGAGCTATCCACGTGACGCGGATCCATCATTTTGTTACTCGACGTCAGCGTGGTGAGACTTATAAACACCGTTACCAGATTACTTCAGTTGTGGAACTCCCGCGGAGGGGGGTACCCCACCTTACTCGCTTACTTCAGTACGCCTCCCGTCGTTTGAAGCGCCATCTCAATTTCGGTTTACAAACTGTGTGTACCATAGAGTATACGGTGGAACGCCATGGTAGACGCGGTGCTTTCGAAACATACGTATTCCATAGAATGCACTGCAAATACCATAGCAGCCGTCCGGCGCGTCGAGCGGCGTACGGGAGACGAGCCGTGGAGGGAGAGGGGAGGGGGCACAGCTCGTGCAAGCAGCGTCTATGAGCAGTTCCATAACTGAGCTGATATAATAACGTTGCTTATAAGCTATTGTCCGCTACGCATTTGAGCGTGTCACGCGAATCCTTAAAACAACATGCAAAAAAAAAGAAAATACCCATCGCAAAGGTCGACAGAGCGACTTCGAATATTTATGACCAATACAGAAGCTATAAAAAGAAACGCAGATGCGAAAGCTATTATTATGTAAAAGAGAAGAAACAAGGAGAGAGAAAAAAAGCGCCAATTGACCACAACAGCAAAATATTATGTATATAAATAAGAACCCCCCCCCCCCCCCAATACACACACGCACAGAAACGAACAAACCACCCATCCACGTTCAATCAAGATTAAACACATCGCGGTCTTTTCCGCTGCCAATTATTTTCTTATAGATATACAGCAAACAGAACAATACAATCAGCGTAAATCGTTTTTTTTTATTATACCCCGAAAACTAAACAAGCATAGCGATGTTTTTTTATTGTGATTTATTTGGAATGGTACGTTCGCGCTGCTCAGCATCGTAACTATCTCTTCAAGCCAACAAGCTTTCCGAATTTTTCGAGCTGACCTCTCCCGCTCGAATAGCCCGTTGTGTCCTGTAATCTCGCGGGTCATTACGAACCAAAGACCGTATCGACGAAACAGCTTCCAGGATCCCGGTAGTTTCTCGCGTCAGTGAGCCGTCCCTGCGGCGGCGAGGGCGTACATAACGGTGGTCACGAATGCCTCGAGATTGAGCGAGGGCGGGAGGGAGAGATCTTCAAAGCAAACAGGGGCTGCTTGTTTCGGCAACGGGACCAACGAACGGCGTATTCGCCGACTAACAACAATCGTGGCTAGCCTGACGTCAGAGCGCGGTGGCAGCGCGGCGGCGAGGGTGAGCGTGCCGCAGCTAACAGGTTCTCCGGCCAAGAGCCGGTCCCTTCAGAAGAGACCAGGGTAGCCGCACGGGCGACTGCTCGTGTACGGGACAGCGTAGTCGTCCCACCGTAGGAAACAACAGCACGCCAAAGAGCGACATCCCTTCAGCTGCTCGTCGCACCACACGGAATACGCGCGCCCAACATGATCGCCCCAGGCCCTGTGAGTAAACTTCCCGCCGTCGGATACATTTTCTTGCTCCTTTTTTTTTTTGTGAGTGCGTTGTTGTTATTGTCGATACATTCGCTTCTTTATATATATATGTATATATACATATATATGAGTGCTCATTTGCACTGCCGTTACCTTCCGTACACGATTCCGAGAAAGAAAATTAACGTGGTAACATCGAACGCATAGCAGCCTGATCGTGGAAATCCGTCGGATGGCACTACCCACTGAAGTGATTTCTTCCGTTCGTAAGGGTCGTGACTGTGAGTAGTCAAGTTTGTTTTTCAATCACGGAAGGAACATATACTGCGAACTGAGTGACTGTAACAGTCCCTTCTCCACTCCTTCCTTCACCCTAAAAAAAAAGAAAAAGATGATGCCACTTTTTATGCAGAAGCGCCAGAGATCACACAAAAGAGGGACAAAACACAGGAAAGTGTGTTTGTGTGTTTCTCCCTCTTGGGTGTACTTTCCTGGTGTTGTTTCTTTTTTCTTCTTTTTTTTCTAGACAATAAAAGTTCACCAGCTTGCTCGCCGTTCACAGTTCTATACCTGCACAAATTGCAATTGCTTATCGTAAGTAGTTCGAGCTTACCTTGGAAAGTGTGATTCTGATTCAAATCGAAGGATACAACTCTGGCGCGCGCTGTGTATCAGGGTGTCATACGTTGGATTGAGGGGGAGGGGAACTCCACCTTTTCTGTGATATCGCTCATATTTCACATGCTTAGAGCGTGTACATCACAATTATGTAGTACCTCCAAAACTATTTCGTACCGCTGTGTTCATTACCTGAATTGTTCATCTCCATCTCACCCATCGCTCACCTTTTGTGGACACATTTTCTTTCGCAGTTCCATAACACGAACAACAATCGAGACAGCGCACCCGATTGCTAGGCTCAACGATACGTCACATGATACACATCTTAAATTACACGCCATGCCGCACTTGGTGGTTCAAGTCATAAAACCAACAACCCTGTTCATCGCAAACTAACCAACAAAACAAAACACGCCATTTTTATACAAATCACGCACCATCACCTCGAGCTAGAACGTCAATTATGAATTCACTGTCATTATTATTATTATTGTTGTTGCAGATTACTTTCAGTCGGCGCATGCATATCCGCAAAATAGAGGTCAGCAGCGAAACGCTGTAATACGCATCCTCGTTGTGGAAACTGTTTCTCGTCTGTCCATCCGAAAACTGCTCGGAAATCGGCTTTCACTGGATCTGCCGAGTGACAGGAAGCGAAGACAAGATGCTGTGGTGGATACGTCACGGGTCTTTCGACTTGGCTTCCTGTCATTGTTCACCAGGGTATCCCCGCATGTTCACGCCGACATAAAACGCTTCTGCCTGACCCGTTCGGTTTGACTACACTGCCTTGCACCTCTGTCGAAGGTGTAGCACCAATACCAAGACATCCAGTGTGCATCTCAAAACAGGCGTGAATATGCAAAGCGAATGACGTAGAATTCTACTTTCTGCAATGGTGCAACAAGGTGTAGGTAAATAAAATGGACCAGCTCAGGGTACGTTAAAGCATCTTTGAGCACTGGTGTCTCTTGTTTCTATTGTTATCGCGTGGTTCTAGAGTGAGTCGTGTGCGCTACCTGCATGAACCACGAACTCGCGTTAAGATAATAATGATTCTTTAAACAGCTCTCGTGTATTCACGTAAAAAGTGCGGATGGATTACGCTTGAATAGAAAGGCTGATGTTTACAACTTAGCAAACATGTTATAGAATATCGAAATTTATATTTCATATGCAAATCCAAAATAAAACTTTTTTTTTTTTTTTTTCAAATTCTGTTGAATATGTAACAATACAATCTCACACGCGCTCGAGACAAACCGGACGATCACGTCGGAATAAGGCTCATGAGATGCAACAAACCACTTGCAAGTGTCGAGGGCACAAAAAAATATGTATACGCCGTTCACCCTTAAGCTGGGACTAGAAGCTCCGCCCTAGCTTTCTGCCCTTGCTAAAACATGTGTGAACGCGCAGGCACGCGCAACCAAAGCACAGAGGAAGCCAGCGAGCTCGCGCTGAAGGCGGAGCTTCTAGTCTCTGCTTATGAACGGAGTATAGCTGTTCTTTACCGCCATGCGCGCGGCGGTTTCGCCGTCATACCGAACGACCAGACAGACACGTATATAAAACAAAGACAGACAAACTGAACGTATTTTGCTTATTTCGGCCCGACCTCCCTGCGCGCAATACCAAATGTTCGTGCACGCGATAAAAAAAAAAAAAAAAAAAATCGGTAGTTACGACGTGGTAGCGGCCTCGCTCAAGCACGAGAACATTCTGCAGAAAGGTCCATTTACAGAAGGATACAGCTGCCAGCCAGCAGATTCGTCAAGCATTTTCCGAGCGCTGAACGCAGCACGCACGCGTGCAGCACGCCGCCACACAATACGCTCGGACGCAGACGGAGCAAAGGGGCCACGGAGGTCCCGACCGATCGAAACGTTCGCGCAGTACACAATAGAAACCCGGACGACTGAGAAAAATCGAGCCCGCTCGCCTTTGGACAGCCTTGGCAAGGCGCAGTAGTCGCTTGCATTGCCCCAGAGGCGGTCAGCAATCCTATCTCCTCCGGCCGAATATCAAACTGCAACCTTGAATCGTGCTTCCGAGGAATGCCACTGCAAGGCTGACCGGACTTTCCTCGCTCCAAGAAATACAAATACCGATACAGAGGTTTTCCTTATTGACTAAAGCCGCGCAGAGCCAAGTTCAAACATGCCACTTATTGTCTCGTGTCGAGCTTTGGGGACGGTGAACATTGGATGGACCTACCTACGCTTCTAAAGAATCCAAAGTGTGGGCGCCACTTGAGCGTGCGCTCGTCGTTTTGGTGTGGGCTAACAAATGTGTCGACGTTGATAGGCGGCGCAGCGAACAAGGTCCTGAGCATTCGCGTGCACAACCGAAAACAGTTGCATTCAAACGTACTAATCAGTGCCGGAACACTTGTTCATATCCTCGACGTAGTTAGCACCAATGCCTGCAGCGTTAGAGTATACACACGACGTTCACATCGCTTCATTACGTCAAGGTCATTTGATTATGTTGTTGGATGCTCCTTGAACCTTCGGAGGTCAATCCGGTGATGCTCCGTTCGATCACAGGGTTTTTATTGCCTTATGAGTTACGCTCTTATTGCCTTACAAGTCGGAGCGATCTTATATCCTTATAAGAGCGCTCCGACGTACCGTCCACTTTGTCATGAGCACTAATGGCTGCCGACGTAACCGGCGAAATGTGTGAAATATTCTGTAGTTATTCGCTACGGTACCGGTTTTATGGACCGATTCTAATTCATCATTACAATAAGATTTAACCACGTGGGGTCGATAAATACGTCAAGAAACGATTACGCACAATCAGGTCACAAGCAATCACCTGAGCATTCTCTCAAAAACGCAAACACGAAAAAAAACATAAGAATGGAACCGCCGGGTAACAACAGTCGAGTAGAAAGCGCCACTAACCTCGTAAAATTTTTACTCATTTCGGTAAAAAAAAAAAAGTAAAACATTATATTGTAGTACACCGCCTTATTCAAGTAGTAACCAAACAAACTTGAATGGAATTTCGGAAACACTGCCCTAAAATGCAGCAGTGGCACAGCTTTCGCCAGACTCGATTCTAAGTAGCACTCGGCATCGCACGACGGAAAATGCGGGACACACAAACACGCACGCACGCATCGTAACAATACAGCAGCAGTAACAAAGCAAGCAAGCTCAGCCCGAACGCGTGAAACGGAATTCCGCCGGCGCCACCGGTTCCACTCCAAGACGGCGTGTTTGCTTGCGCGGCAGCCTCGCTAACAAACAGGCCGGCGGCCCGACTTCTTTTCCCGCGTCCAGCGAAGCAGATATCCCTGCGGCCGGCAAGTTTTTCGTTCACTTCACCCCCCCTTGCCCTTTCCGAGATTACTAACCCTACGCGCTTGAGCCACGCATTCTTGCTCTCGCGCGTATCAACCAAGTCCACTTTCCGCAGGCACGCAGCGAGGCACCTCGCCCAAAAACCCGAGCCACCGTGAACCTCTTAATCTGACAGATGCAGGCGTATACACGTTTTTGCCACACTTCAAAATCGCCACCGCGCTACGTGGTGCACGCACCCCCGAAGAAAATGAGCCAACCTTCGAGGGAACATTTCCTCCCGCCGTGCAGCGCTAATCCGTCGGCTGGTGGCAGGGCCCGACACATATATGTGCGCCAATCGACACTCATCGGAGTGATACGATTCTAGTTGACTGACTGCTCAGCAATTAGGCCTCTAGACGCACGCATCGCCAATAAGTATAACCTCGGAAGAAAAAAAAAATCAAAATGTGACTGTTATATTGCGGTTTCATCCCGGAATGCAGGCTCGAGTATGCAAGACCTCTCACCGTTTTGTCGATTGGTAAGCTACACTGAACGACCACTATATCCTGCGCACGAGTCCTCTTATCCTACAGGAGGTACGATTTCTCCCATCACCCATAAACTGCACGTAAGAACAAATAAATAACAAAAAAAAAAAAGGTGAAAGACGCGGGGTTAGGTATAATTTCCCAGTCAGATCAACTGGAGCACCTGGCTAACCAACTTCCACCGCTCCACTGCGTCTCGAACATGACCGACTCGGTGTTTGGCCGCAAAAGCTGCGGCACACGCCCCTGGAGGGGCGCGTCTGCGCATCTGCATCTGACCTGAATTGCTGGTGAAATATCGCCGCCGCCGGGGGGTCCCCGTTCGGCAACCCGAAAAGTCGGTCCTCTGCTTTCTTTTTTTCGGGGGCAGCCACCGTTACGCAGACCCGCGTGCCGTAACCAGGCGCCCTGGAAACCGCGCCCTGAAGAAGCCGCTGTACCGGCGGCCAACCCAGCCAACAGAGGCACGGTCATCAGCGGCCGAGGGGGGGTTACGAGTAAAGAGCTGCTTTTCCAAAGCCCCTTCGGGCAAGGAACA